AAAAAAAAAAACATGATAAAGATGAAAAGAAACACAGGAGAAACCACACTCATCGTATTATTACATAATTGCCCCATCATCTGAATATCATCATTTTTGTAACTGACACAGTGGTGCTAAACATTGGAGCCAGATCATGTGAGAAAGTAGCTTCAAAGCAGCCCGGCGTCCACGTTTTATCCGCAGAGAGCCTTGACTGAGCGTGCGAAACTCCGTCAGAACGTGACTGTCTGGAAGGGAATGTACTGGCATCCAAATGTAGTGTAAACGTAGCCTTAGTTTGAATGTCACCGACATAACCGGCGGCGAATACTTCAGGGATTCTCAAAACATCTCCGCCATCTGCTGTGCGGCTTGATAAATGAGGCCAAAATGGGCAGCGGAGAGACGGGTTACCTTGGTGATGCTTATGGTAGGCAGCGTGCTCGCATTGGCCACGGCGTGATCCACAAAGTTTTCCGGTACAAATAATTCGTTGGCGTCCTCCATGATCTCACCCGGCACAATGTTCTACGTGAAAAGACAGGAATAAAGTGAGATATTGAATGGCATGGGGTGATCGTATTTGCTTTTCAAAAACATAATAGAGTAAACACTCGTTTTTTTGGGGAGGAAAAAAACACATCCATTCAGAGAGCTCTCTCTTTGGAGCCGAGTTCATCACCATGGCTACTTAGACTGCCGACAGAACCAGTCTCCTGGCCTTATTTTTTTAATGTAGCCTGAAATCCGCTTTGAGGTTGAACCGAAAATGCACTTTCACCTTTACAGGCGAGTTTAATTTGATCTTCTCGAACATGCGGCTGAGCGGCAAAAGTGTTAGATGCATGAATCGACTATAACATTTTCCTGCGTCAATTACAATTGCCATTTAAAGAGTCCTCTTCATCACCATGTCCACATTTTGAAGCTAAGCTGTCATCCGCAAGTTGCAACAGAGACAGAGCGACTGGAAGAGGTACTGAAAGGCATATAAGTGAACCTCCATGGAAACTTTGGCTTGAATTTTTCTGTTCAGCTCTTTCTTAGAGAAGATCGAACCAAATACCTATCAAGGTTATACTGTAGTGCAAGTTAGGGTCATGTCCAAAAGACAAACATCCTTAAAATTTTGTGAGTAAAATATTTTAGGACAATAAATGTACCATAATTTGTATTCTTTGGACACACCGTTATAAAAGATAACGTCAAAACACGATTCTTCAAATGACCAGCAGGTGTCTCTCTAACTGAATGTTTTTTCTTTTTTGCACCATGAAACAATTTAAGAAACTTATATAAATACTGTACTACTGTGTAAGGCAGTTTTTTTTTTAGCTTTTTTTGTTTTTATCTATTTCAATTAGAGCTTTTCATTAACTAAACACGTTGAGTAACGGTCTTTTAAATGGTAACGGCGACTTCACAAAATTCTGGCGTAAAAGTAAATCACAAGTCAGATACAACAATGACGCAAAAATTAGGGTTTGGCGTTATCTCTACAACTATTCTTGTTTCATGAAACTGATAAGCACTGCAAACATGTCGATTGCACCGAACCTATCCAGAAAATAAATTAAAAAAGAAATTATACATAATACTGGACATTAAAAAAAAAAAAAAAAAAGAATGCTGACCAGCGGAAATTACGCAGAGGAGGT